TACAGTTGGACCCCGATAATTCGAACTCGGATAATTCGAAGTCCCCGCTAATTCGAAGTAAAATTCATTTCCCTTGGTTTTGCCCCACTTTTCTCAGTCATTTTACCTCGGATAATTCGAACTCGGATAATTCGAAGTCCCCGCTAATTCGAAGTAATTTCTGTTCCCTTAGGTCGGATTTTACCCCGATAATTCGAAGTTAAGTTACCAGCTGAATGAAAAAGAACAGACGCCGTTGGAAATTAGAATATATATTTATGTAATTAGCTCGTTAATGGAACATTTCACAGCTCGTTAATGGTCTATGTTCTGCTTTTTGTTTGTTCTTATGAAATTTAAAAAAAACTGTTTTGTTGATGAAAACATTTGAAATACGTTCAGGGATTACAAACTGTTCACTAATATCGCGAAAATAGGGTAAATAAAGTTATGCAGGGGTAAAATTTGCGTATTTATTTTTGACCACTATAATTCGTACCCCCCCGATAATTCGAACTATTTTGCTTTTCCCTTGAGACTTCGAATTATCGGGGTCCAACTGTATTTAAAAACACTGCTGCTCGTTGTTTAAATAGTACTTCATGACCTCTACCGAGGCCCCTGCTTTTGTTAAAGGTTCCAAAGAGAGCTTACATGACGCGCGTGACTCACAAAAAGCGTGACACATGCCGTTTCAAAACCCGTATGCAAATATATCAGCTTCCAGATCTGCTTTTATTCTGAATATTGATCATCTGCCTCATCGGGATTGGATTGAAGGTCAGCTAATTGCAAGTATTTTTGTTATTGAATCGAATTTTTATGACAATAATTACAATATAATTTTTGTTTGTTTATTTTCAATTTCATTCCCTTCGTAAAATCCAAGCCCAGGCATGGATTCATACCTACTAATTTCAGCTCCCAAATATCGCATTACGTCGGGGAAACATTTCGCATTCGCGATTTAAATGAGATGTGAGATGATCGAATATAAATTTAGCTTCTGGTTGAAATAAGGCAATCAAAATCTGCGCTTTGGCTCTCGGCAAGAGAGCTAGGAAAATTTAATTCGTTTTCTATTACCGTCGCGTTGAGTTACGTTCACAATGTCATTTGTTTCCATCACAGCATACGGGTCTACAAAGATGACAGAGCACGAGCGCGGTAGAGGCTATAGTAGTTTGGAAGATGTGTCTGGTTCTCCCTCTTTATCATACGACGAGCGGCCACAAGTGGCACAAGTTTCACTCCTTAAGCGAATCCTAGCATGGCGGAAGTATCTGATCCTTGTCTTGACTCCAATTCTACTGATGCCCATTCCTATCGCGATAAAAGGAACGGTAAGTTTGAAAAGCTTGTGACTTTTGAATAAATATTCTACTACGTTTAAGAAGAGGTGACAAGTTCTTGTAACTGCGTCTCTCTTTAAGAACCGTTGATATTAAGTATTGGATTTTACTTTTTGAATATTTAAAGAAAACTGAAATTATAATCTACATATCATTGATATAATTGTTCATAGATCGGGAATATTCTGCAGAGCTCACGATGGGTTGTTTACAGTTGCTCTTCAGAATTACTATTGATATGACACATGTGCATTTAAAGAAATCAAAATCTTACACAATGAGTACTGCACTAAGGGTAGAGGAAAAATCTGTTAACGGAGATTTTTTTCAGGTCTGATTTTCGCTATTGCATAAATAGCGCTCTCTACTGCGAGGATCGTGCATCATACGTAAATTTATTATTGTCCTGTAAAGTCACGCAGTGTGTTGCGTGACAATAAACACAACTTACCAACAATTTAATCATAGTTAGTAGAGGGGACCCAACTAACTATGATTTAATCAACCGATTGGATACCAGAAGTCAAGTTATTATCATAAGTGAAATTATCATCATAAGTGAAATTATTATCATAAGTCAAATTATTATCATAAGTCAAATTATTATTTAGCTAGCAGCGCGCGTGGCCAAAATGAAGCGAAAACGGTGTTCTGATTGGCTACCCGAGCGGGCCAGATGGGCCCATCTTATCCGTACTGATCCAGCGCAGGAAAAGTGCGGGGGGCGGACTTCAAAAGCTCGAAACTTTTGGAAAATGTGGGCGACAAAGTCGGACAGAGCGGTAGAAGACAGTCAAAACAAAGAAAAAGTTGAACGACCCTCTTGGGTTTATTGTGCTACAAACGCAGTTGGCTTTCTTTCACAGCCCGAGAAATTAGCAAGTCATTCTTGATTCTTATTTAGCGAAATCTTTTTGCTATATAGAAAATCCTCCATTTACTGAGCTCGTTCGGTCAAGATGCTTCATTGATATTAGCCTCGTTCTTTTTCTGCGTTTTTTATGGACCCCCACTTCGTCTCGGTCCATAAAATCGCATAAAAAGAACTTGGCTAACATCCAGCCATCTTGACCTTACGCTTGGTCAATGACGCTTATTCCATATTTTGAAGTGGCGAAGTGGCGAAGTGGCGAAGTGGCGTGTGGTGAGAAGAGTACGCTTAGAGTACTGGAAGCGTAATACACTCTAACGAAGGAAGAACGCGTGCGCATTTAGATATATCTCAGGCGGCCTGCCTGATGAAGATCTTACAATTTCCAAGATATTCTTCATCCCTCGGAAAGTTAGCCATACCAACCTGTTTCATTAGGAACGCCAGTGAGGATCCTCGAGTTACAAAGACGAAATTAAAGTGAATATGCTTGCTCTGAAATTGAATTTAGTGACCAATACTCATGTTGCCTGAATGTTTGCTGCAAATGTTGGAATATCGATCAAAAACACAGCCCCAAATCCATTTTCTTCGTTTTGGAATAAAAGGAAACATACGCTGTAATTTCTTTCTTCTGCTCTTGCTTATTTATTGACGGTTAATTAAATCAATTCAATATTTTAAACCAATGGAAATCATTTTTGCGTTCCGGAAACAAATGAGAAAAGTGGCTACGTCATTTTGCGTATATAATATTAAGTCAAATTGGACAATAAGAACATTAACCTCACATTCGGTGTAAATGTGTTCAGATTTCTAGGTTTTTCAGTCGCTCTAAGTTGACTTGGCGGCAAGAGAGATCGTAAAACAAAGAACTCTGTATCGGTAGATTTTAAGCTACTACAAGTGCGAATCAAGAAAAAAGCACTATGGAAATTGGGGAAACAAATGTGGTTTGCCTCTCATCTGTGGTCGTAAGTGAAAATGCTACGGAAGATTTGGGCAACAGGCACCAGAAACCGGCCAGTATCGCAGAGGCAGATTCCTCTGATCCTGTTGATTCCTCTGTCGCGAGGTGCTTTCTGAAATGGCGCAAGTACGTCGTTCTCATGCTTACACCAATAGTGTTGGCACCTTTGCCCATAGCAATTCCAACATTGGTAAGTGCATGAATTTGATTTCTTGCATGCGGAAAGGGCCGGCTTTGTCACACTAATAAAATTCAGCCCGAGAAAGATCACAATGTAACGCGTCGATGTACGTGCTGTTTGATTTTCAAATGTTTTTATAAATCAATATTGAGTCTTTCATGTACAAGATGTGTATGACCTGGCGATCGTGCATGGTGCGCGATATCAAGGGCTGAGTGTGTTTTTTACGAGATTTTGTGAGAGTAGCGAGATTAGCTATTTTGCAATCCAGGATTTCCCAGCACTGTTACAAGTTTGATCACATCTGCCCTACTCCAGCAATTTACAAAGTACTTGAAATTCTTAGGCCTTCATATAGCATAGCTCTTACTAATATTTCCTCGGATTACCGTGTCGGAATGTATGTTCCATCCCGGAATGTTTTATTAAGACTGAGACTTGAAATTCTTCGTTGTTCAAGGATCGGTGGATGTGCCGGGTAATGTTTCAAGACCATGGGACAGACCCAGACAACAATGAAACGTGATGATCAAAACCAAGATTAGTAGACGCTAGTTACAAAATTCGATGAAAATATTGACGAGCTTTTGGGTCTTTTGATTCGCCACCTCAAGATTCAAATAGCAGCGAAATCCTGTGGGTGTGTTAAAGAAGTTGACAATTATTTATGCGCTCCAATCTCACAGAAAATTATTCATGGTATTGAAACGATGCTGGGGGGATAATAAAGTTCGGGTCTATCGCTAGCTGTAGCTCCATTCAAAGACGGACTTGGCTATAGATACGAGATTTAATATCACGATGCACAATACTACTTTAACATTCTTAGCAGTCCAAAGAAGCTCTAA